TGCTCACATAAGCCTGAACTTACGATCCTTTCTATAATCTATTATAGCTAAAGTTAAATTGTTGAAATATCATTGATGTAAACTTGCAATTTGTTAAAACATTGAAATGTATCAATGTGGGCGGAAATGTATAAGTTGGCCTTCAACTTCCCGAGTTCAGTCAATCACATCTCCTCGGCAAACTTCCCTCGGCCTGAAGACAACCCAGCTGAAGTCGTGGCATTTTGCCTTCGGAACTTGCAAATTGCTCGATTTGTTGGAAGGGTCCTAGTTGGTTAAGTCTAGATAATTCTCAATGGTATCCTTCGAATGTAGCTCCTATTGACACTGAACTTGAAGCTCGTAGCGTGAAAACACATCTTTCCTTTTTCTCAAAGTATGAAGACATCTTACATCAATTCTCATCACTGGAAAGAGCGTTAAGAGTTTTATCTTACATCTATCCGTTTATACATAGAACACATTTCCGCAATTGACCACTACATTGTTTCTCCAGTAGGATTCCAGCTTCCGAATAATTTCGAGTATAAGCGTCTTTTAGCGGCAGTAAAAAGTTTTAAGTAAAATGTTTTAAGAGGCATCTTAATAGGTATGTAAAATTCTTCTCATATACATTGGAGGAATTTTCTACTATTCTAACTCGAATAGAAGCATGTTTAAATTCTCGACCATTGTGGCCTATATCGGATAACATTGACGATTTAGTCGCGCTTACCCCTGGTCACTTCCTTATAGGTGCACCCCTGCTTTCTCCACCTGAACTCCTTCTTGAGGAATCCCCATTAATTTTAGTTATTAGGTTCCGAAAATTAAGAGCTTTGACGAATCAGTTTTGTATAAGGTGGAAACAAGAATATCTTCTGAGATTAAATAAGCGGTACAAGAGGAAGTATCCACAGAGAAATATCGAAATTAATGATTTAGTTGTGATTCGTCATGAAAAATTAACTCCTACTTATTGGAAATTAGAACGTGTCGTGGAAACTCACCCCGGTTATGATGGTAAAGTTCGCGTGGTAGATGTTCGAACTCTTCAGGGAATAGTTAGGCGATCAGTCGTGAAGTTAGTGGTACTGCCTAACTAAATCTATACCATTTGTTTCTTCTTTTCGTGTTGTGATTTTTTCCCATTTATGTTAGCTATGGCATCCAAGCAAGATTTGTTCCCCGAAGTTATCTTGCCAGATTACGACGATGTCATGATGTCGGACTGGGAGATAGAAGCGGAGATAATGGCTACCAATCAAATAAACCCAGTGCCAATAGTAGGGTTGGCGATGAATCCGGCTGCTGCCACATCCGCTTCCAATGTTGATGCTGATGGGGAAGTCCTTACCCGCCACGATACTGAACCTAAGCCAACAACATCAGCCTCGAACCGCTTAACACCCTATGGCGTCTTGTAGGATCTGTAATCGTAGGCATTCAGTATATAAATGTTCTGTGTTTAGAAACATGTCGTTGGAAAAACTCTTGCGTACTGTATCTTATAATCGTTACTGCTATAATTGTTTGTGTCCAGACCACATGTCAAAAATTTTCCAGTCCGCCTATCGTGTAGACATTGCACAGACCGCCACAATTCCCATTTGCACAAAACTCGTGGAAACCGGTCCAAGAAAAAAATAAATAATCCAACATCGGTTGTGCCTAGAGGTATATTCCCACCACCACCCCCTCATGTTTTACCGGTCTCTCTCCCCAACCGTATTGGTCCGTCTCTGTCTGCCACATTCGAACATTCCGGTAAGGGCGCTGATTGGCCCCTGTTGTCAAATTAGCCAAGTTTGCGCGTCACTTGTTCAACAGTTACGATGGCCGACAACAAGAGTAAATGAGCTGGAGTACGCTGACTTACTTATAATATCGCGGTTTGATTCTGTCCAGAGACATTTTGTAACGGCTAGTGTTGCGAATATTACCCGTGGTGTGATCCCGTCAGTGTCGATTTCCCCCGCAATACGCGAATCTTTCGTTGGTCTCGAACTCGCGGATCCTACGATCGACAAAGCTGCACCCATAAACATGGCTCTCGGTCCAGAAATTTATTCAAAAATTATTTCAAATCGAGTAATTGCACAACCCGGTTTGCCAACGGCTCAATATGGATGGGTTCTTTCGGATCCCGTCCCTCTCTAAACAACATTCTTTATTATTGTATTTATTGAATATGATTTGAACTGAATTAAATGCTCACATAAGCCTGAACTTACGATCCTTTCTATAATCTATTATAGCTAAAGTTAAATTGTTGAAATATCATTGATGTAAACTTGCAATTTGTTAAAACATTGAAATGTATCAATGTGGGCGGAAATGTATAAGTTGGCCTTCAACTTCCCGAGTTCAGTCAATCGCATCTCCTCGGCAAACTTCCCTCGGCGGAGACCGTAGAGCGCAGATACCACCGGACGGTGGTTGTTGTTGGTTAGCTCCCTTTGATACATACGAGACTCTGCTCTTATTGGAAATAATTGTAAATGTAGTAGAAGTAATCGACAATGATCCTCCTCGATCACTGCGATCCCCCGTGTATTGACTCTTGCCTGATAACGCCCATAATCTCTTTTAATATTCTTGCAGAGATAAAACGCGCTGTTTATTAAAATGTTATTAATTAGAGAACAAACTTGAAAAATATGTACACGAAGGAGAATCAAATTTGAATTGAACAATATTACGTTAAAGTTATTTAAAAGAAGTTGAAATATTCTGAGTGTCGAACAAATATGGACACGTATCTTATGGATATATCGAGATATAGTTAACATAAATATTCGGCTTGGTGACATTTTCCAGAAAACGACTCACCTTCTTTCCCAATCTCTCTTGCCTACACCACAGGCAGCTTAATCTTCCATTCCATGAAGTCCAATAGCATAATTTACATAAGGACTGAGTGGTAATCTCCTGCCTTTTTAAAATTTTCCGCTTGGTTTTTTTTTTTGTGAGAAAAGAAAAGACAACTTTTCGACTGCTCTGTAATTTAAAATCTACCCGGTTTGAGTGACCAAATGTAAAGAAGGCGAGAAGAGAAATGACACACTTTCTGTTCAGGTGTCAGTTTTTTTGGAGTGAAAAAAATATAGTTCTCATTACAATGACATTAATTGTTCTCTCTTACTACCTCGTATTTATAATTACTGTCCCAAACTGTACTGTTATAATTACCGTCCCAATAATAGTAGTTGTCATTTCGTTGGAATATTGAAGAACATCCTGAATTTGGATTCTCAACACTTCCATGTAAAGATGAGGACCTGTAAATATGAGTTAGTTATGAATCAGACCGTACGCACAATATTGCTAAAGTATATTGTGATCTGTGTAAAAAACATGCTGTGAGAATTATAGATCACATCATGACACGTAATCTGAACGACCCTTTATTTTATTTGATTCAACTCTCTTCGGGAAATAAAATAGCTTCTACTCTAGGTTAAGATAAACCCGAATTTCGTTATAATGGCACTATCTTATATGGTAAGTGTACCAGAAGTCGGCACTTTTAGTATTTTCGTTTTTTCAATCTTTCAATATTCTGAGTGAAATCTTTCAAATGCAGAAAAATAAAGTTTTTCAGATTCCAAATTTTGTTTACTTTTCGAAATAATAAACAAAAATTGAATTTGTTTTTATTGAATTGGCAAAATTTGCAATTTTACCAAAATAGTAGTATTTTGCCAGTAGTCTGCACCATTTTCCAATGCTCGGCATGTCTATTTGCCAGTAGTCGGTATATGGTATTTCAGTAAAAAATATTATTTTGTATATTTTTTTATTTCAAATATTATAAAATAATGCTATATTACTAATTCACAGAATTTGAAATTAATTTCGATTTTAAATAGTGTTTTATTAATTTATCATTGTAGACCAAATATAGGTAGAAAATCAAGAATAGTATGGTTACCTTCAGTAACGTATGGACTTTCAACTAAAATAAATAAAAAAAGAAAAAAATACCATTCTTATATTTCGAATTTGTGAACTGATATTTTTCCTTTGGATAGCCAACATTTTTTTTTCTAAAATGCCACCTTTATCTAAAACGTCAAATAGCTGATTTAAAAAACCAAGAAAAGTTGGTCAAAAAGCACAAATAAAAGCAACTGCCGACTTAAAACTATTTTTTTATTTCAGTAGTTTTTAGATTATTTTTAAAACTTTTTCAAGTTTTGGTGAAATTGGTCAAATATGATATTTTTTTTAATCGACACCCCCTGCCGACATCGGGCCAATCTCTTTTTTTCTTTTCCTAATGTCGGCATTAAATGATATAACAGAAAAATGCTTGATTTGTAAATTTTTTAAGTTATAAAATGATCTTTAGACTGTCATTTACTATTGTAAAATATTTCTGATTCCAAAAGTATTGAATTTAATGTACTTAATTTGATTATTAAGTTAACCACCACAATTTGTTTCGTTACAAACAAGCACTATCGCACGCGTTGGAAGACACTCACTGACGAAAACCGTTATTCTCTCGTAATAAATGATCGAAACTCATTGAACACTTTTGCAATTATTTCATTATTTGGTCAATTCTATTCATAGCTATTTAAGATTAAATTTCAAAACTGCCGACTACTGGGACATGCCGAACTTAGGCGCACTTACCCTACAAATATTTTTTTAAAGCAACACATTAACCATTCATTACTTGTAGCTGAATCGCTGATGTACTTTAAATGAATATTTAATAATTGAACGCAAATTTTTGACCGTTCAAATCATGATCGTTTTTATATATATTTTTTCATCTCACATATTTTTCTCAAGTTTGTAACTAATCTAAATATACAAGGGTATAAACAATTTAGGCTCTCGTTTTTATAACATTGAATTGTATTTACTATGCTTACATTTACTGCCAAAAATAATTTTTATATCTCCGTATTTTAAGCAAATTACCCTTCTGTTCAATTTAATCAATAACATTTATTTTTTTATTTGAAAATTCTGAAAATTTTGGCAATACTTTTCTTTATTTATAGATGGCGTACCGCTTTATTACCATTCCAGTTTCCATCAACAACATTTTGGCCGTTATTTGTGGAACTGAACCACCATTAAAAAGGCTTGTAGATTTAGCAGATAACGTATTCAGAAATGAAGTTACTTTAATGCAAAAGTTAGAAAAATTTATACCATGTGGCATATCAGAGTGCATTGAGTTGGACTCCGCTGTAATAGCGATAATAATTGTCAACACTAGAAGCAGAAAATATGTTTTTTCAACGAACATTCACCACAGAGCGTCTAATAAGAGATATATTGGCGATTTTTCCTATAAAGATCAACTAAAATTGTTATTTTGCCAAACGTTTTCAAATTTGGAGTTTTTAGAAAAAAAATCGTATCAAAATCATCGTAATAATTGCGTGGCTGACCAATATTGGTGTTCTGATAGCAACAAATTCTACGCAGAAGTTGACGAAGATAATAATATATTTGGCTCCTTGTTCATTTCATCAATTCCGACGCATACCATGAAGTAAGTATTTTTTATTTTAATTTTTTTAAATATTTTATTGTATTTCTAGTAGTAATGACAAGATGTAATATTCTTTATTATTTTATATTGAACTTTTACCTTGCAGAAAAAAAATACAAAATGAAAATGTAATTTTTAATTTTTAAGGCACTGACTTAAAATCGTCTGCCAATAATTTATAAGTATAAATCAATTTGATTCTAAGTGATTTTAGTATTAATAGTTATTTACAAATTCAATTCCAGCAACAGTTGATTTCTATAAAGTATACATGATTTTAGATAGCTAGCTAGACATATCTAATTAACTACGATTCCATTGAGAATATCTATTAGTCCAGATGCACAAAGAAAAGAGTTTTGGAAGAACATGTGATGAAATTCTTTTAGTGCTGGGCAGCGGCCTATAAAATGCTGTATGTTTTAATTTTCTTGTACATTGCACATTTAACATATTGGATTTGCATCTATTTGAATTTAGTGATATCATATCACCTCTTGGTTTAAGTATCCACAAGATTTCATCTTTGGTCACATAGTCCCTAAAAAAAGGATCCGATAAGTTTAGGCTCTAGTTTATTGTAGAAATGCTGAGAGTTTTTTGCTTAATTTTGTTGTTGCTTAATCCCATTATTGTTGTTTTTATAAAACAACGTTTGTTTATTAGTGGAGAACGATGGCAATGTTTACCAAGGGATAAGACAGGGAATACTTAGGTTTCGGAAAGAGCCACCAATCCTCATCAGTTCCCTTGTTTTTTGTCTGGGATATTCTCCCCAGAAGTTATTTTAAAAATAACTCCTATGACAAAAAACTTTTTTTACCCAATTGACGAAATCGTAAACTCAATAGAAGAGGAACCAAAGAATTAAATAAAATTAAAATTCTATTGAAAAATCTTCTAAATCTTACAACCGCACTTATAAACATTTTCATCGACCGAACCTTGTCTATTAATAAACAGTGTTGGCTTGTTTGTTTGGGATACCATAGTATTTTTTTTTTTTTTTTGTTGCAAAATGGTCAGGCTTAATCCCATTATTGTTGTTTTTAAAAAACAACAAAAAAGTTTTTTTGTCATAGGAGTTATTTTTAAAATTACTTCTGGGGAGAATATCCCAGAAAAAATGGGAACTGATGAGGATTGGTGGATCTTTCCGAAACCTAGGTATTCCCTGCCTTACCCCCTGGTAAACATTACCATCGTTCTCCACTAATAAACAAACGTTGTGTTTAAGTTGGCCTTCAACTTCCCGTGTCCGGTCAATCACGGCTGCTGGTTGATACCACAGGCATCGCCTCGGCAACTTCCCTCGGCGGAGACCATAGAGCGCAGATGCCACTGGGCAGGGGTTGTTGTTGGTTAGCTCACTTTGATACATACGAGACTCTGCTCTCATTGGAAACAATTGTAGATGTAGTAGTAGAAATCGACAAAGATCCTCGGCGATCGCCGCGATTATCTGTGATTGCGATCCTGTGTGATTGTCGATCAGTAGTTGAAGTGTACACTTCTCGCGCTCTAACCCATTCGTACCTCGGTTATACTCACCAGGCCTCTGTTGTATCATAGAAAGAAAAATAATACACCAATAGTAAAGATGAAACTATTTAGAATTTATTACTAATAAATCATTGTTTTTCATTTCTTTGTTGTTTCTTTTCACCATCACCACACGCATCGATTTCATTCAATTCTTTTTCGCTAATATTTTAGGAAGTCTTTATACCGAAACAAGATTCGAGTTATATAATTCATTAAGTTGTTAAAAATGTAGAGATGACCACTTTCGACACCAGTTTTTAGCATGAGAATGTATTTTGGGGGTAGGGCTTGGCATTTTTAAAACTTTCTTTAAATAGAAAAGCGTTAGTTTATCGATTTCGCCGAAATGAGTGACCCATAAGATTGAATTGACCTACATACTGTTAGAAATAATTTCCATTTTGGTTTAGTGATGTACTTGGTCTGAACAGGAAGCATTTCCACGTCGTATTTATGCTATTTTTTTGCCAACTCGTTCCTTTCTAGTATGTGCTTCGGAGTATATATCAGTCCAAGATAAGAGTATTCAGATGTGATTGAAATTTCATTTCCATTAAAGTACCATTTTCCTTTCTGGATACAACTCCTCATTTTCGAAATATCACGATTTTGGATTTCTGCATATTGAGTTCCATATTCCAGAGTGCACAATAATCCTCTAGTTTGTCTACTATTCTTGACTATCTTTGTCTACTATTCTTTATTGTTTGAAAGAACATTAGCAAGATTATTATGATATTGAGTGTGTTTAGGTTTTTTGTTTTTTGAAATTAATTTATTAAGTAATGTTTTATAACTGAGATCTAAATTGTTAAGCTTATGGAGAAATAATGCTTCTTAATTTTAATATCTGCTTTTTTATTTCCACACATCAACTCTCCAGTCTTTGATCACAACATTCACTTTGTTCCTATTTTTATTAAGTAATTTCTTACGAATACCATATGTGTCTTATCATTACCAAGTACTTCTGTCTACAATTGATATAAGACATGCTTATTCTGTTGCCGTTTTCAGTAAGGTCTTCTCAATAATAATTTTACGGCCTGCCAGTTTTTTAGTATTATTAATTAATTTTTAGCTATTTCTTTATCTTGCATTTCAATTATTGCATCCATTTTATCACTTGAGGAAGACATAACTCGAGCTGATATTATGGTTGCATCATGGATTTTAAGTATGTATGCAAATATGCATTCCACGGATTTCTCAGCTTAGCCTTTCTTCTCTTTACCTTTAACAAATAAATTTAATCGTTTTGCTCTGTTCGCCTTATCGATTAAGTTGTTGTCTGACTCCAACGTTTTCAGGTGAGGTTTCAATTAATAATCGTTTAGCCGAGTGTATTTTAAATCTGCTGAAATTGGCGTTTTTGACATTCTATATGGTCCCGGGCATAAATACTTGCTAACATTTCAAAATTTCAAAAAGAGAACAGAAGTATTAACAAGTAAAAATGCGGTAAGATCAGCCGGGCCGATCTTTGAATACCCTCCACCATGTAGAACGAATTTGAAAATTTTCGAAAAAGATAACATTCGCCAAAAATTCTGTTAAAATTTTTACAATACCGAATATAGCCGTTATATTAGGGCCTGTACGTCAAGCACCTACATAGGCATTATTTGTCGCAAGCCATTACCATATTCAAATTCGAAACTTGAAATAAACGGTGAATAAAGCAGCCAAAATCATCAAAATACTGTACATAGGCAGGTACCGTTATATAGAAGCTATACGAAGACCTGGACCTGTATAGACAATTTTCTGTCACTGGCTGTAGCTTCCATTACGAACTTCAAATACGACATCTCAAACAATTTCGGTGAGTATTGGACCAAAAATCGTCAAAATACCGAATATAAGGAGGTACTGATATATGCGGCCTATACGAACACCTGGACCTGCATAGGCAATTTTCTGTCACAGACTGTAGTTCCCATTACGAACCATAAATACGTAATTTGAAACTACTACGGTGAATAATGACGCTAAAATCATCAAAATACCGAATATCGGGAGGTACCGTTATACGGGGGCTATACGAAGACGTGGACCTGCACAGACAATTTTCTGTCTCAGGCTGTAGTATCCATTTCGAACTTCAAATGCCAAATACGAAACAATTCCGGTGAATAATGTCGCTAAAATCATCAAAATACCGAATATTGGAAGGTACCGTTATATGGGGATTATATGAAAACGTGGACCTGCACAAACAATTTTCTGTCTCAGGCTGTAGTATCCATTTCGAACTCCAAATGCCAAATGTGAAACAATTCTGGTGAATAATGTCGCTAAAATCATCAAAATACCGAATATCGGGAGGTACCGTTATATGGGGGCTATATGAAAACGTGGACCTGCACAGACAGTTTTCTGTCTCAGGCTGTAGTATCCATTTCGAACTTCAAGTGCCAAATATGAAACAATTCCGGTGAATAATGTCGCTAAAATCATCAAAATACAGAATATCGGGAGGTATCGTTATATGGGGGCTATATGAAAACGTGGACCTACATGGCCTTAACCTGCCTACTGGCAAAATAAACAGGTGTGCAAAATTTTAGCCTTCTTTTTCAATTCGTTCGAAAGATAGCGTGATTACAACAGGCAGACAGACAGACGGACATGGCTAAATCGTCTTTGAATTTTGCGCTGATCAAGAATATATATACTTTGTTGGGTCTGACATGAGTATTTCGAGGAGTTGCAAACGGAATGACAAAATGAATATACCCTCCATAGTATGGTGGAGGGTATAAAAATGGGAAATTTGTTTCTGGTAACGCTCTTTATTTCATTTGGTGTAACAAGAAATTGCGGCAGTGCAACACAAGCTTTTAGTACTCCCAGCTGACAGTCCCTATGTTTTATGTGGCAACGCTGTTAGCACCAAACCAGTGTAGTGTAAGAGAGGGAGAGAGAGCAGCTGATTTGTTGTAAACATTCAGTTTGAATGAAAATTGCATGCGCGGCTCTTGATATTTTCAATAAATTTATAATATGATAATGTATTCCAACTGTTGCAATTAAAAACTCCAATAAATATCAATGGATAACACTTTAACTACATTTACTCTGTTGTCAGGTCTAAATTTTTTTCTTGGCGACCCTGTTGTGTGAAAGTTGATAATTTTATTTGTCTTGTCTTAAATAAAAAAATTATTTTATTTTATGGTTATTTTAAGATAATTGCGCTTAAATATAAATTAATTTCTTGATAAGTATACATATTTCGTAAAGTACTTATTGGTGTTTAAGTGTTTTGTGTTACTTACAAAATAGTCTTTTTGGTTTGCTCTTATGTGTATTTCATAAACAGAGTTGCCATCGTGCTTTACTGCTTTATAAACTTTAACATATCTAAAATGTTCTGCTCGTATGATAATTGTACTAATCCCACAGACTCCGATAATACAATTGAGTGTTGGTTGTGCTTCAATCGGTCACAT